GGATTGTCCTCCCTCTTGGACCCTGCTGTATCCCATCACCAGGGACCCCCCCCATACCACTGGGGATTTTATTCTGCACCCCTGGGACCCTGCACCCCCCAGCCCCCCCATTCCACTGCAGGGACAGGAGGGTCACAGCCCCTCAGTGGTGCCCCCCCTTTCCCTGGCCTCACCCTGGGGGTCCCTCGGCCACATCCCCCCCAGCGAGGGGCACCCACCAGTTTCTCCACATTGACCAGCCCATCCAGGAGGGTCTTGCTGCCTTCGTGCAGGAAGGTCAGATCTGGGGGGGCAAGCAGGGGGTGAGGGGGGGCCGCCACGGGGCAGCAGCAGGACCCTGGCCCCACGTGGGGTGCGGGCAACCCCTGTGCCCCCCCCTCACCTTTGAGGATGAGCGGCACGAAAGGGATGAGGGGGGGTTTCATCTTGGCCAGCACCTCTCGGTAGGTCTTGTGGTTCCTACAGGGGTCCTGGGGGGGGGATGTGGGGGATCAGGGCTGGGGGGGCTCCCTATGGGTGCCAGCACCCTGCCCTGGACCCCACCACCACACTGGTTGTCATAGGTACAGGGCTGTGGCCATCGATGGTGGTCTTGTGGGTGGTGAGGACACCCAAAGACGGTGTGGGAATGTCCCCCCTGCCCACCAGCTCCCCAAATACCCCGTGGGGGGGGGTGTCGGGGAGGACTGGGGGCTCCCCCAAAGCCCAGGGGTGCCCAGGCACCTCTCACCGTCAGGTTCTCAAACTTCCGAAACAGGTTCTTGAATTTTCCCGGGAGCTTCTGCAAGACAAACCCAGGTGGGACCATGAGCACCCGGGGAAGGGGGGTGCCACGAGCACTCAAGTTGGGGTCAGGGAGCACTTGGAGGGGTTGGGGGGGGCCCAGAGCACCCCCACATCCCCTCACCTCCCAGGTGAGGCGCAGGCGGCTGATGGCAGCGTTGTTGAGCCCGATGATGATGGCGTAGAAGGAGAGCATGTCCTGGTTCTGCTTGCAGCTGGGGAGGGGTGGAGAAGGTGAGGGGTGGGCAGAGGAGACCCCCCCCACACCGTGCCCTTGGCCCCCACACTCACATGGCGGCGATTTTGATGAGCTTCTTGAGGAGGTGGGCACGTTTGCCCAGCGACTCGCAGAGCAGCAGCTCGGTGCCCACCCAGTGCTGCACCTCACTGCAGCGCTGCAGCAGCAGCTCCAGGTTGGCCGTCTCCCGCCGGCCCCGCTCCCCGTGGAACACGTAGTCCACGAATTCCAGCTGCCGGGGTGAGGGGACACACACACACACACACATCATCACGGCTCCCCCCGGCCATGGCACAGCCCCCCTATAATCATCCATCGCCCCCCAACCTCGTGGATGCAGCGGAAGAGCTCCCAGTGGAAGGCGGTGAGGTGGTTGGCGATGTCCTCCGGCTCCGCGCGGTGGATCTCCGTGTCCCCCGGGACCACCTGGATCTCCTCCGGCAGCGGCACCTGTGAGGGGACACGAGGATGGGGGACGCTCAGAGGGGGCTTGGAGCAGGGGGGGGCAGAACCACGGGGGTGGCCCCCCCCTCTTCTGCCAAGGGGGGGTCCCCGTCACGGCGCGGTCGGTGCTCACCAGGGAGTCGAAGGTGTCCCTGGTGCAGGCGAAGAGGTGGCTGTTGATGCCCAGGGTGGTGAAGACACACTCCTCGCTGGGCTGCAGCACCGCTTTCTCTGCGGGCAGAGCACGGGCAGGGGGTCAGTGCCAGCTGGAACCCCCCTCATCCCCTGCCCACAATCCCCCACGGGCACCTCCGGAGGAGGCCATGGTGACGAGGATGAGGGCGTCCTCGCGGGCACTCTGCTCCTCCGAGTACTGCAGCTTCTCGGTGACCGAGGCCAGGATGTCCTGCACCGAGGCCGAGAGGCGGCTGCGGATGGTGACGTAGGAGTGGTCGGGCATGTAGACGCGGCAGAAAACTGGGGAGACAAGGAAAATTGGGGGGGGACACATCAGGGACATGCCAGACCCTCCATGCAGCTCCAAAGCCTCAACTGGGGAAACTGAGGCACGGAGCAGGCACGGACCCTTGGAGCTGCCGGTGGGCCGGGGA